TCCGGCCACCATCTATGCGGATATTCAAGATAAACTTTGTTCACCGTTCCAATACTTAATCCCTGATGGAATGATGTTAATTAATATCAATTGTAATAATAATAATAATAATAATACCATGTTTTATTTTACAGTAATATATTGTTAATAAAACCTCTATTGCACGTTGTTTCTTCTGCGACAAAGATGGTACGAATATCGAGGCATGTTTCTCCTTTAGAACACCTAGAGATCCAGTGAATATAACATGCAATGCCGAATACTTGCAGCCGTCCCTGGTAATTACCGTCACATTCTCGCCTGAACTATAATTGATAGTTGCCACAATTTTTCCGAACTCTATCTTTTCCATCACTGGCAAACATTCCTCTACATTCGGAATCTTTTGCTGGTAAAATAATCACATAATATATACGTACTTGATTAGCAAGAATAATAGACAAGATACGTGTTGATCATGTATTATTTTGTTAAAATCGTATTGAAAATGTATTAAAAATTTATTATACAGTTAAACATTAATATATAATGTTTGAATAGTGATTATTTTTTTTAATAGATCGTATTTTAAATTTCTCTGCCAGCATCAGCATTTTGTAATAAACAAACGTTAAAAATATTTTTGTGCTACGCGATTTTTTATTTAATTTGTATCAAATAATTTTTTACCAATAGCAGATCAAAAATTGTTCTATAACCACGCTCCTTCCAACCTAACAATTGATCGCCCTCGCAATCCCAATATTCTGTCCAACGCTTCGCAGAAACGTCAAACCATGTGTCGCTGCCATCTTCAGAGTTTTGCCACTTTTCCGCCCAAGATAGATATTCATCAGCTCGAGAACGATTCATAATAAAAGGTTTTCCATCAAAAGTTTCATTAAAAATTTTATAATATCTACAACATTAATGTAGTAACTGAATTAATTCTTTACATTAATTGTAATATATTTTCATAATTAATGCTGAATTAATGCTGCATCAATCGTGTAAGGTACGTATAAATAATTGATAAGTCCTTGATAGAAAATTAGTAGATAACAAACAACAGATCTTTGATAAGCATTTATGATAGAATATCGCTTATATTCGTTTAGAATTAGTATGAATGTATGCAATGTAGAATGGGTACAACAATTGTCTTTGTTAAAAATTGTTTTTGCTTTTGTTATCAAATGTGTCTGATAAAGATGTTTATATGATTATGCGAGCAAATTTGCATTCCACGTTGCAAGCGTGGTTTTACGAAAGTGATATCGTAATGATCAATATAATTTCTTTAATAAAATTATATTTGTGTGTTCAGATTTCCGGTTATAAAAAATAAAAATTTCGAGAGCAACTTTTAATGACTTATACCTTTTAAAAATCTTCTAAAATCTATAATATATCAATAGAGTATTTTCATGAGAAACATTGTAATCTAAGTCGAATTTTAAATAAAATCCTGAGGACTTAAAAGTCGTATGGGTTCAGACAGGTGTAAGCATCTGAATAGCTATTAAAACATATAACTTTTTTATAGTCTACTGATATTTTTCTATTAACAAAATAAACAAGCATACTGTTTACGCTTATTTTCTTTAATTTGTATTGCAATCAATTAATATACATATATTCTTAATGCTGGACAAAACAAATGTACTTACTCTCGTATGAAGTTATCTCCTAAAGATTTTCTTTCCTCTTTGAATTCTGTCTGATTTAATTTATCGAGGATATTTTCAAAAATTGTTAGAATTTTGATGTTATCCTCGCGGGGCATTATTTCACCATTAATAGTGACAAATTCCTGTTTGCTGAAATCTCGCTGAACTGCGAATGAACTCAGCAGATTATGTTTGGAGGCAAGTTCGAACACCACGTTTCCAATTTGTCCATGGACCCATTGAGCTCCGAGATCTACCACATTTTCACCTGAAAATATAAAATTCTTAATCAAAATTTTCCAAAATTTTCAAAGTTTTAAGGATGCAAAATAGAAACTTATAGTTTATTATCAAAGATAATATGCAAAGCTAAAA